AGAGCGTGGAGGCCAGGCTATCCACCCTCCTCGTCCGACCCATCGCTGAGGAAATGTTTGGTTTAGATAATCCCGCACGAATGTGGCAAAATGTGGAGGAGCTCAATCTAACTGGAGAATGAAATTCTCCGGTATTTGGGGCACTGCATACCCTTCTAACATATCCAGGAAGTTCTTTCCCGTCACAGTTTGTTAAGCAAAAACGAAGGGGCCAATAACTCTGTCTCGACCAATTGCGCACCACACATTACCTTTTGGGCTATCACGTCGTTGTTCCATAATGACATATGGAGGTTCATTACCCCATATTCTAACATTATGCTGATGGATGTGTCCTGAAACATGAACATAAACTTGTCTAAAAATTCCCCAACATGATCTAACCCATCCAGAATGTCTGTAGCAAATTAGAATCGTTTAATTTTGTCCTGTGGATAAATTTTATGTAACACCTGAATTTTATAACCAGTAAAGCGTAGTCGTTTCTTTAAAACGTTGCGAACAGTTGTTTTTGAAACGCCTAACTCTACAGAACACTTCCGCACTGATTTCTTCGGGCTACGCAGATAACTTACTCGCACAGCTTCAATGGCATCGTCAGACACTGATGGTCGTCCTGGACGTGACTGCTTCAGTAGGCTGTCTGTTTCTCTAAGTTGTTTGTCCCAAAGGCGAATGTTATTTTCGTATGGTGGTTCTTCATTACACACGCCTAACAAGTGTAACTGACTCAAACTTAGCAAGCCACAAAACACATTGAACCTTCCTCTGCACCGTAATCATGGCGACTAACAAGCTTCACGCGTCTATTGACCTTGTAACAGCGCGCATGCGCTTGCGCTAGAACCCTTTTATGTTTCGAAAAACTGGAGAGTTTATCTTTATTTTGACGTTGATTTCATGTCTCTATCTTGCTTTGTTCCAAAATTATAACTGTTTGTTATCTCACCATTATTTTACGGACACACTGTACAGGCTAGGCCTATATAATGCCAAAACATATTTGATGCATATAATAAAGCTGTTAATAAGATCTGTTTATTACATAAAGTATTCATTTTGTGCACGGTGAAACGTTTATTTAAGGAAAATTTTCAGTTTAATATGAAGCAGAAGTAACATTGGACCGATTTAAACCAAAATTGAATTCTCCTCAGATACGTCAGTATACAGTCAATAGTATCAAAATCGTATTTGTGAGATAAAACAGGTTCTCTAACGACAAACTTTTCGCATGAAAGGTGTGTTTTCCGCATTTTGTAAGTACTGCGTGTCTTAATAGAAATATAAAGCTGGAAGAAGTTTGTTTAGAGCAGTCACGTAAAGCGTTGTCCAGTGTAGGAAACACAACGGCTTTCAACCGGATACAAAGTATCGTGTTTGCTCGTCTTAAATCTAGTACCTTGTCTTTGTCGTATCATGAACTTGTATCCACCTTTCATCTTTTTTTCTTTGGATTTATAGTATTATTATTTTCTCTTTTCGACGTCTTGAGTCTGTGTGTTACTACCTGTCTCTACTCGCGGATCGATGCAGCCAGCAGATGGATTTTCCTACCCCACGCATGAAGAATCTCTTTGATTCGTCGAGCAATACAAAGAATTTCTTCTGGTCAACCCTTTAACTTTGAACCATCTGCTTTAACAATCACTTACGCTGTATTTTGTATTTGTAAGGTTCGTCTGATTCTCAGTGTGAACATGGTAAACAGGATTTCATTAATTAGCGACGGACTGACCAATTAAATTGACGAAAATCTGTTTAAGAAGGTTAACAGATTTTCCTTGTTAGTGCTTACAATTAGAGAATATCTGCCCAAAGTGAATTTTAATTCAGTCCATATGAAATACCTGCAAAATTTTGTTTGGGACACCAAGACGAGGGACGTCGGTGTATATGGAAACAAAATGTTGATGCTGATCTAAATAAATATATAAATGTTCTGAATTATTGCGACGACGCTAAGAGATGAGGAAAACGGAAGAATTGTGGAATTCTTACTGCCAGCGTTGAATTAAGAATTCTTTTCCCTTATCGTGTGTAATATGAAAACCCAAGATTCAGATGTACAGCACTTGGTTTGGCATTAACAGATTTAACAGTGCTCAGCATTGCTCGGTTCCAGGCTGTGGAGAGTTTAGCACGGCTCAGCCTTGCGCACCGCCTGCGTTGTTGAAAGCAGCAGGAAAGGAAGCAGCGGTCTGAGGATTATTGACGTTTTCAAATTTTCGCGTCTCTGCGTCGAATATCCGGCGATAATTGCGATCATACGATAGCTGAAGGAAGGCTACAGGTCTCTTCTGTAATCCTTAAATATACCATGACCTTATTAGGCCACAGAGAGGACAGCGTAGTGATAAAATTCTCAGAGAAAACTAATTAATAAAGCGAGTGATGCACCAAACAGGTTTCGCGGTGGATAGAAGATTGAATTACTTGTAGAAGACGTGCAACTGAATGATCCGATTTTCGGAAAGGCTTCTTGCTGGCCTGAGAATTATGAAGCCAGTGAATAATTCATTTGTTGGATAAGAGTTTCTGAGAGAATTAATTTATATCGCACTGAACCGTAATATTTATATTAAAGTGTTGATATTTATTCCTTTGTATATTTCTCTCCATTTATAGAATTAAGTTATACTAATTATGATGATGATGATGATTTTAGGAAGCTGAGTCTGTCTTGAGAAAAGACACTTGTTCAAGTAGATGGTCATGGATTTCCCCGTTCAGTACAGAACCCGAGGGCCATTACCGTGTTTTATCAGCATATATCCTAAGAAAATTAACCAATTTCACCACCTCCACACTATTTGTTTAACGTCCATTTTTATTGTATTCATATCATCGTCTTAGCTGTCGGAATTTGCAACAGAAATTTATACATTTCTCATTTTACAAATGTGTGCCACATGAGACGCTTATCTGGCCGTATTCTACTTGATCACTTTAATGATACTTGCTGAAAAGTAGAGCAAATATCCTGCTCCATGATACTACGTATATTGGCTTATAAAATGCGAAGTCCTAATAATTAAATTTGTTTAATTTATTCAAGTGCTTAACAGCAGCCAAACAATGCCAATTACAGCCAAGTACGATAAAGGCAGTGTAAAATTAATGCTAATAATTCTTGAGTTTTGTGTGCTACATCAAGACCCAAATGCCCAATTACAGATAACCTCAAAGTTAAAACTTGTCAATACAGTGGAAATAAAAATAATCACATAATTATGCTAAACAGGAGAACATAATAAAAAAACTCCTGACATCAAAGAAATAGTAATTTTAACAATGTACTTTTATAAAGAAACTTCTTTTGTCATTACCAATTTTTTTTGTAATGTGACGCCTGCATGACGGACGGAATCACAACTCAGAAGGTCACATTTACCAAAATCTCTGACTTTTTCTCATTTTAATATCACAAAGACCATCTGAAAACGTAAAGCCCCTACAGGAATATCTTTTAACACGGCTCATTTATTGCACAAAAACAATAATATTGTAAAGGATAAAAACTATTATAAATAGCCTGTACTTACTTTGAAGGACTCTAAAATACACGTGATTTTACCTGTCCCTAGGTACGCCATTCGTAACACAAGAATGGAATAAACAATTTTAATTTTTGTATCCGAACAGGACAAAAGCTTTAAACGTGTGTTAATTGTTGTGTTATCTTTCACTTGCTTCTATGTGATAGATAAGACTGCTTATGAATAGACTACAAAGCCATTCTTGGACGTAAGGCAAAGAGCTTTGCCCCTGGGGTATCATCTATTTCTCCAGTGCAACAAGTTGCCTCTGCAGCTGCTTTTCATCGTCTCTCGGCGAAACAAATGTTCCCTTGTAACTGTGCTCTCCTTTCTCAGCAATTTGGCTTATTTCTCTGTCACATAAAATGGCCGCCGACAGCTCCATCGTCCGTGTACCTTTTCTTGTTTTCTTTTATTTAATTACTCGTACCCAACTACTTAAATTACACTGGGAAGAAAGAATTCGTTAGTGTAATGTGAGAAGAGCGTAGAAACAAAAGGTTGTATTCCAGCATTTGTTTGGAAGCACTGGAATAAATCGTGAAAGTCTCCAGTTAACAAGACCAGTCTCTACAGAAAGGTTAAGAAATTAATCCTTTCAAATTCGAATCACCTGATGATTAGTAGTGACGGTATTCAGGAAGGGGCCGCTGCGAGGTTCGAGTACGTGTTGGCTCTTAGGATTATTTTCCGTGGTTTTACTCAGATTTGAAGCGAGTGTTGGGATAGTACCACACAGTAGGTCATGATCGCTTCCTGTTAATCTTTTCCAGTCACCTTTGTGTGATCGTACTGTCTGTGAACTGCAAATGGCTTCTGTGTTTGATACAAAGCCGTTAAATAACACGTGGACCAAGACGTTTAGAATGGTTTGTGTTATAGCTGTATAAAATTGATTTTGTTGGTATGTAGATTGCTGTCTCCTGGGTTATTGCGCTGTGTAGTATGGTAGATTTCGACAAAAGTTTCAGAAGATGCCCTGATGACGAAGGCAGTAAGACCTCTGAAACGCCGATGGACATCTACCATACTACACGGCGCAACAACCCAGAAGACAGCCATCTTCAGACGCATGACTGTGAAAATCTCAAATCCTACATTGGTGGTATGTACTTAAGTACGCTTATAGCTCCAGAAATGCTGTACCAAATTGCTTCAGACTCTCTACTCTCACTTACTGAAGCCATAAATAGATTTTAGAAAGGTCATAACTCCGGAGAAGTCCTCTGGGTTGGAGTACCGGTAAGGTGGTTTCTGTAGCTCAGAAACTAAGCGCGGTAGAGAAATGGTGTTTAGATTTTTTATTTCGATGAGGATATTACAGGAGCAAGGGAGTCCAAACAGAAAATTTCCCTAGATTTGAGTTACGGTTAAGTTGTTGTTGGGCTTGGGAATGATAATTTTTCCCGTGTTTCTCAACAGTACAATAAAACTGACACTAAAATCACGTTCTGGTTTCAGAACTGGAACGGCTGCAGAATGGGGGCCGTTCGTTGCACTCCACTAGTAACGGCAACCGGGCGAACAATGAGGACAGGCGGTTTGCAGATATCATCAAGGAAAAACCCATAAAGGTCACCATCCGTGTGTTGGTTCCGGTCAAGGAACATCCAAAGGTAAGTGCAATGGTTCAGGCGTAGGCTAACCCGCACTTTGTACGCAGTTTCCCTTATGTCCTTTAACTGTTGTATGTCTGAATATACGTAAACTCAGGGTTTCGAATGCAAACCTCTCTTTGAGGGACAGGGGTTTCGATCTCAGCGAAATGAACGTCGAATTTTTACATTTACATACATTTTGTCTGCCGTATATTTGCACAATTTTCTTGTGTTACGAGGAAAGAAAGAGTATTTCTGTCTTCATAACTCCTTTGCGTCTGGCTAATAACTTTATAAATGTATGTCGTTGTTATTAGATTTGGTACGAGCATCGTGCCATGAACGGCAGACAACCTTTCCACTTTCTGATTTTATACGGACAGTGTCCATGCAAACTTCTGAGATGAAAGTTACTTTTCTGCCACTATGTATTACAGTCATGAAGTTTTGTATGGTAATGAATCTTCAAAAACATGCAACAGTTTAACGTAATTTTTTGTTCATATGAATCAACAACATTGCATCTGCTCAAAATCTGTATGTAACCTTTGGTTTTATGGCGGTAAATAACGATCCATTGGAGGGAGGCATGTGAAGTTCACTTAACACTACTACATATTCTGTGTGGATGAGTTTTTTTAACGTCGACAATTACAAACATGATGGCGGGAGGCAATTAGAAGTTATGTCGGAGTGATAGTAAAGTTAATGCAAATAAGTTACCATAATATTAATTATATTATAACAGTAACACGACTAGCTTCGTGTATTGGCTCTCACCAGAGTACTTAACGTCCTTTTACGTTAAAATGAAAAACGAGCTACCGTATTGTCAAAAACTTTATATATATGTGTATATATAATATATATATACATATATGAAATAACCGTTTCATAGCTCAGACGCTGGTTTCCTACAGCGGAGAACCGGGTTAAATTCCGGATGAATTCCAGTTATAATCTCGGCATTGAAACAGGATTTCATCAGAGTTGTTCGGTTCCCTCATGCTAATCATCACTTCATCATTATTTCGTACTCGTCTATCACCGCTCCACCAGGCGCGCAGCAGCATCGTTAAAATACCCTCAGTTCTCAACTAGGGTCTTCTCTCTGACCGGGATCTCGGGTGCTCTCGGAGTGAAGGTACTTTTTATATATGAAATGTACCTTGTGAAAATGTGTGTCATGTACTAACAGGTTTGTACCCTGCAATAGCTAGAAATGGTTCATTTATGTGCCTTTTACACAGCTCGATAAAATCATATGCGGGTACAAAAAGTAATGCGCTTTTAACATTTGGAACAATTCACAATTTCCCTGTCGCCTCTAGAACACTGTCCAGTCACTGTGTCCCGAGGGAACCAATTAGAGGAAGCCCCGGCTCAGAACTCGCTAATATTGGTGGGGGAGTCTATGTCCCTTCACCGAAACGAAGGTTTTTTGATTGTTTCCAGCATCAACCAAATGTCATAAAGTAAACGAAGATGGGGCCATTTGACATTTATTGTGTGGATACTATCACTTTGTTAGCTGGAAGAAACTAGTGCCAGAATTTTATTATATGTTCAGATTTTTTCATTTCAATCCGAGTACAGTAGACAAAGCGTCGTTAAAGAATTACTATTACAAATCTATTTTCACATCGACACTTCACAGCGAAGATACTACAGATGGGCAGTGTGTCCGTTATTATCTCCTTGTATTTCGTTAAATACACACAATGTCGAAATCAGAAACGTGATGTATGGAACAGCTGTAGATAATATTTCCTGACTAGCTGAAGTAACTCTACGTTTTTTGTAATCTCTTAAAATATACTATTGAAATAATTAATTGCTTATTTAAGCGCACAACTCACTTATTTATTTTATTATATTTATATATAAAAGCAGGGCCCTACTGTATTTATATTTCTTCATTTATTTTTCTTTGTGTATAAATTTGTTTCTTCTTTGGGCGTCCCTGTAATTGGCTGTTATATTTAATACTGTACATGTATAAGTTTAATTAACCTCTTTTTGTAATATTTTTCTTTATTATTCATTATTATTGTACACTTATCAGTGTTTGCCTGTTATTGGCTTCTTGCTGTTGGCAAACACATAAATAAATTAATTGAATATATATATATATATATATATATGGTTGAGAACTCTATACAGAGATCTGTGGCCGCCTAACACCAGGTTCTCACGACCATAGTCCTTACATAGGTAGCACTATTAGCACTACTTCTTACTACAACTCTTCCTTAATGCTACTGCACATAACTATTCCTTATTACTACCGTGCCTACTACCCCAGTGGCAGTTCTAAATTCCTGATTTTTCCCTGTCTTTTGCTTCTTATTTTGCACAGAAAATTCCCTCCGTTCCTTCGTACAGCTTATTATTTTCTTGAAGGCCAACGGTAAACCAGAAGCCGTTCCCTCCACCTCCCCGTTTCCGTACACTTTAATAGTATGTGAATCTCGTAACTACATGCATATTAGACTATCATTAAAAGATTGTAAACGTAAAACCTTATTATGATTCATAATTTGTGTAATGTTGATATCAGGTACATTCTTCTGTCCATATAGCGTCTAATAACTTCACAAATAAAACTACAGAGTGAATATTTAATTACTTCGTTTTCTGAAATGATCGTTGTATAATACATAATTTCACACATATATTTTGCAGGGAGCCCGAGGTGGATAAAAGAGCCCAACTGCTATTCATAAAAATGTAGTGAGTAAAATCATGACGGATATATTTAAAATTTATCACTGCATATAATATTATAATGGCAAATATTTTAGGGTTTAGCGCTTTTATTTTTATATGATATTGAGCTATAGACTCACGTTTTGTATTTTCAGACCAGAACTACTATAGGTTGTGGGGAAATTTTTTAATGAAATAGTAATATTTCTCTACTTTTTCCGCAGTAACATTGCGAGTACTTTACTAGTCATTAAAGAACGATGTAATAAATCACAATTGAACGTTAGTGTACTGTAGGTAACAAATAATTATTGAAACTTAAAACGTTCTGATAAATCCGAAAGGAGATTATGTATTCCCAGGTAACACGCTCAGATGTGTCGCGTTTTCAGTTTAATTTCAGAAATTTCTTCTACCAGAGCACACTGCACTACAACCCACAGGACAGCCAACTTTGTGTTTTTAGTTTGCCGCTTAATTAACAGCCCTTGCTGAAATGAATATTTAAACAAATGCATCCAGTATTTAACGTTTCCATGCGCATTCTGGTGATAATTCTTTAAAACATAAACTAAATCGGTTTATCCAGTAAACCGCATGCTTACTGAGCGAACAACGTTGCACGTATGCTTTATTCGGTCTCCTAGTAACCAGACCGGAGATAGTACGGGAAAAAGGCTGAAAAAATCTATTCCGTGCCGGAATACGCACTTGGCGTTCTTTAAAAATTATGAATTTGAGAATGAAAGATTACGCCAGTCTTCTTACTCAGACAATTTTAGTTTCTGACTATACATATAATGTGATGTTAATGTCTTTTTTAAGTAACATAAATCAATATCGTTACCTCAAAACTCTGTAGTAGTGTACTTCTCTTGGACGAATGGGATCGGATTCTCAACTTTATTTATTATGCCGCCATTATGTTTTTATTTTACAATATACAAAGAAGTTAGAGTCCAAGGTTTTGTATTTTCCGAAAATCTTTGACTGTACACCGTTGTATGATGATGTTTCGAAAGGACACGAGTGTCGATCTCACCTCACAGGATCCAGCATCGATCCACGTTTCTTCTCCCGCCATGTTGGTAATACAAATTGTAAAAAAATTGTAAAGTAAGATTTTACTGTCGTCCTCAATGGCATGATGTCAATACCGAATTTTATTCAAATGCTTTCAGTGGTTCTCGATTTTATTCATGCGGACAGACAGGACCAGTCCTATATGCATTTAGTTAATAAACTTATTGTGAAGAACGCACGATAAAGAAGCTGAAGAAACGAAGAGTTTTATGACGTAGAAGTGGGGACAACAAGATCGATTAACCGTTCACATCGCAAAAACGAATAGTTGTGGGGATGAAACTGTTTCCTCTACGTCATTACTTAAGGGTAGAAGGAAAACTGTTGTAATATTTGAGGTTTTCACAGCGGTGGGTATGAAGATTTCTGTCTTCTGGGTTGTTGCGCCGTGTAGTATCGCCCTGATGACGGAGGCATTATGGCCTCCGAAACGTTGGTAAACATCTACCATACTACACGGCGCAACAACTCAGAAGACAGAAATCTTCAAAACAAAATTATTACCAGTATCGGAATTGAGACAGTGATTTACAAATTACTGGCGTTGGGAATTGCTTGTATTTAGGACAGTACATGCTTCCTTATGTGCTATCCCCCAACCCCCGATCGTCTTGCTCTTTACTTCTAACGGACGTGGAACGCACAGATTCGTCCGAAGTGTTGCATTAGGAAATTGGATGAAATTCGCCTCTCTGCTCTTGTATATAGCAATGTGAGTGAATCTGGCAGGGGACTGTCATGTACCGCTGCGAGATTCCTCAGAATGTAATAAAGTCGCGCCGGACACACTCCCAGTAAACACGCACGGACGTGTTGTCTTGTTTTTTTTGTTCGTCCCTTGATTAACAACCCTTGCTGAAATGAATATCAGAGCAGACGCACAAAATATTTAAACCTTTCACGCGACAGCTTACTTATTATACTGTGTTGTATTTTCGGTTAAAACGGGGTAACGTTGCGTCGCGAAACAATGGAAAGATGCCATCCACCTGTGAGAGGAACACGCAGTTTACAAATACAGTTAGCCTCCGAATGATATCAGAAATCGGTTCCAACAGAACGACACAAATGCGAAATCACTCGGTTATCTGTCACACTTGCCACTCGCTCACAAAAATAAATAGACCCTATTGTTAATGAGGACGAATATGTGCAATGTTATAATCCATTTAAAACTTTAATATCGGTTGATTTTATTAAAATCTTATTTAAAACAAGAGAGATGG